TTAAGCTCGAGTTGGAAGTTAGACTGAGGGAGGCGGAGTCTTCCTGCTACACCGTAACAAACTAGACGTTAAAAAGAGCTGTCAGGCTATGGACCCCTATGGTTTAACGGATCGATACTCGCGGATGAAAAATCGATACTTTCCGAGGGTGGAAAATATCGATATATATTGCCGAATCGATTTATTTATACAGCCCTACAGATTCTGGATATAATTTCCATACATTTTCACCTGACTGATGGCATCATTTTTAAGTATTAAATTTAACCAGACTCTCACTAGAGAGTCTTGGACGGCTACTTTTTACTTTCACTTGAATACAATTTTTGGTTACTTTATCCACTTCTGATATCTGACTAAATATTTTTAAGTAAGTTTCTGAAATTATTTTAATTGGATATTTGACCACTAAGCGAATTAGAAACATCAGATTTCATGCTAAACTGGCTAGCATCCTAGCACAGCCCTCGCTTTTAAGCGTAAGGGAATTTTAGCCTCATTTATCCGTTTCAAAGCAGCTTCGATGCGAGTTTTGGGGTCTTTGTCGTCTTGGAAACACTCTTGTGTCCAAGTTTGAAGTGTCTAGCTGTTGACTTAAGGTCAAACTGAGGAATTTATCGGTTTTTAATGAAACAATCACTTAAGATGTAGGTTGGACAATCATCCCACGACTCAAATGCAGGATTTAAACTGCGGCACTCGCATGACGTCGGCATCCAGGATTAGTGTATGTGAACTTGTGGGTATCAGAGGGTTTGATGAGTCAGTTCTCAACATCTAGGATGTTCAGGAGGAGAGTTGTTACTGGCGAGGTGTTCAGGGGAAGAGGGGGGTGAAGAGTGAGGCAGGTGGGCAGACGGATGAAGGGAATCTAGCGGGTCGGGTTCTGTAAGGTACCGTGCTAATGTTCTGCTGATTGCGTTTGACTCGCTCCATCTCCGGCGTCTCCGGCACGGACGTGCCCTGTCCCACTCCTTCTTTGTAACGATGCTTTGAACGACACAGCACAGGAACAGTCACACATGGCGGCGACGCAACCCGGCGGGAGGTTAGTGTTCGGATCGGGAGGAGAGGAAGAACAGCAAAAAAACCAGACGGGAAAATAAATGGGGGGGAAAAAATGTTTTTTTTTGTTTTGTTTTTTTTTGTTTTTTTTTAAAGTAAGTTTGGAATTGTTTCTGGTAGGAAAAGAAGGAATGATTTATGGAAAATAGTTAGGATGGAGGAGGAAAAATCAACTCTAGAAAGCAAAAATTATTTTTTGTGTGTGTGTGTGTGAGGGATGACAATCAGGAGGAGGGTCACTGCAGTGGTTTTCCTCTACCAGACTGATATTCTTCTGGGTTTCTCGGACCCGCTTCACCTCGGGCAGGTCTGGTATGGTCATGCCCTGACCCACAGACTCCTTGTACTGTATCTGCCCATTGCAAATGTCACAAAGGTACAATGTGAGACAGCATCTTTCGTCCATCCACGTTCATTCTTGTTCAAACACAATAAAAGCGGTTAAATGACTGACTTTCCGCCTGACGTTAATGTATTTAGTAGGAACGCCACCAAAGTTCCTGCAGGTGATGAAAATGTTAATTCATGGGTACAAATTATGTTATAGTTGAGTCACTGCTACAAAGTCTGCAGATAGTGACAGCCACATTTATCAGCACTTCTGGTAAAAAAACAAAAAAAACCCAAACAAACGGGTCTATTTGGTGTTTTCTCAGTTGGCCTTGTTTTGTTCCAGTTTTCTCTGGAACAAATAAAGATCCCACTGCACTGAACCTCATTGAAAACCTCCTGGTTATTGATTTTTTAACTCTTCCTGAGTTAAAACATTGTTTTTTCTAAATGAATATGAACTTGTTTTCTTTGCATTATTTGAGGTCTTAAAGCGCTGCATCTTTTTGTTATTTTCACCATTTCTCATTTTATGCAAATAAATACTAAATTTTTGCTTGGAATTTCAGAGACATGTCAGTAGTTCACAGAATAAAAGAACAAAATTAATTTTACTCAAACATTTAACTATAAAGAGTAAAATCAGAGAAACTGATCATTTTAAGTGCTCTCTTATTTTATTCCAGAGCTGTATGTTTATGGATTTATACCCCAACTTGATCAACTTACATTAAAAACTGTATAATCAAAATATGCTTCAGTTACATTTATGTTAAAGATATTTCTAAATGTGCCTCAGTTTAGGTAAAAACAAACATTTTCTGAATATATTTTTCACACACTATAAATAAACTGTAAATGAAAGTTAGATTTTTTAAATTTTTTTGTTGAGAGATAGTACTGCAGCAATAAAATAAACACTTAAATACTTTGTTTTTTTATTTTGTAACCAGGGTTACCAGTAAATGTGGCTGGTGCTGCAGATCCTTGAGGGAGTAAATGAGGAGCCCGACTGAAGCAATTTGTCCAGTTCCTCAGTGATTACAGGAACTTTCCACAGAATGGCCAAAACCATGAAAGTAAAAATTATCGGTTGGCACAACTAGAAGAAAAAAGGGTGGATATCAGTCTATCCAAACCTATGGCCATGTAGTGTACTGTGGAAGAAAGCCGCTACGCTAGATTTTTCGCCAGATTAGCTCATTAGCTTCATCTTCTGATTAGCACAAAACAAATAAATCTACAAAGAGAACCAGTAGAAAAGATTAGCTTCATATGAAAAGCTGAACTGGAAATGTTCATGGGGAGATATTAAATATGAAGTCAGTTCAAGTTTTATTCCCAGCTGCTCGACAATGAGGGAGCATGGATGGAGAACCGAGACGATGGAGGAGGGGCGGGTCACTCGCTGGAGTACCGTGCTAATGTTGCGCTGGTTACGTTTTACTCGCTCCATCTCAGGGGTTTCAGGCAGAGCCGTCCCTCCGCCCACGTCTTCTTTGTAATGAATCTTTGTGTGGATGTGGGACGAGAAGCATGAACCAGAAGTTAGCCTGATCTTCCATCTGACTCTAAATTATCTCTGATTTAAGCAAAAACAAAACATTGACAACATACACGCCAACGACACAAAAAACCAGAAAAACAAATTCAAAGCACACAACAAAACACAAAGATCCCAGCTGGAAACACACAAGCTCTGCACTAGCAGCTCTAAACGTTAGTCTACAGGAGAGTTTTAGTTGCTGTAATTTAACAAAGAATCACTAAATTACTCGTTCAAAAGAGATGGGAGCATCAGGTCAGAGTTTGTTAAAATGAGAAAAGACAAACCCAAAAAAGATTAAAGATGTAAAAGTAGGTTATCAAAAACGGTAAAAAAAAAAAACTGTCATGGAATAAATACCAAGCTGAAATTCTTTGTATTTTCTTTAACACGGAGCATGTCTGGAGTGTCCTTAACAGTAGACACTTTGCCCTTTGTGTTTTTTAGGTCAACCTGGTATTGAAGCTATAAGAAGAAGGGAAAACGGCGTGGTTAAAACGTTTCACAGCAGCCAACAGTAGGAAATAACTGTTTCTATCGCACTGATTAACAAAGTGAACAACACGAAAGAGGGCTTAGAGAAACAAAAGGATCTAAAATATTTTCACATCTCTTTACAAACCCGAGGCGGCGTCACCGGATATAAAAGTTACTGTTGTGAAGAGCGGACGGAGGGCGTCTTTTCTAACTTACGGTGCTGAAGTTCCTCTGGTTCTCACGGACTCTCTGCATCTCTGGAGTGTCCAGGACTGGCACGTAGTGAGACATCGTCTTCTCGGCTTCCTCTTTGTATTTTTTCTGTTTCGACAACACGAGCAGATTGAAAGGCATGACGGGAGGGGGGGGGTCGAAACGGACTCGCAGGTCCGTTTTCGGCGGCAGCGTACCTGGCTGACGATGTTCCTCATCTGCTGAGCGTGGATGATGTCCGGCGTGTCGATGACGGTGGTGTAGCTGGCTCGGTCCATCTCGGCGATCTGCTTGTACTTGGTCTGCAGATTTCAGCATGCATGTCTTAGATCAAGTGTTTTACAAAAGCATGGGTGTCTGTTGAGCTATTACAGATTTTGTCACAGTAACTCTAACCTGTAATGTTACACATTAATTTGTGTTATTTATTTTAAGATAAACTTTCAGTCAAATATACTGAATTGTGTGGCTGTAATGTGACACATTTGTCAAAGGTATTGATATTTTTGAAGACACCCTGACACATTCAGCAGATGTTGCTCAGAACAGACCTGGCTGAGGATTTCGGTGGCGTTCCTGGCTCGCATAAAGTCCGGCGTGTCGGTAGCCAAAGCCAACATTCCTTTGCCCTTGATCTCCTGCTCCAGTGCTTTCTTGTACTCCCTCTGCAAATACAGACAGCAGCTTTGTTATTCACCAAACAGATATATAAAAACTGATTACTTTGTCATACTGAGGAAGGCTGCAAAACCCCTAGGGGGACGGGGAACAGAGGAGGTTAGCAGGAATTAGCGACAGGATTTAGGGATGGAGGAAGGTGTGGCGCTCCAATAAAACTGCTTGAAGAAGAAAGAGTTAGGATAGTCAAGAGGATGTTAAAACATAATTATTTCTCTGTTCAAATATGACCAAAGGAATTTCTAAAAATTTGAGCCCAACTACACTAAAATGCAACACTTTACATGTTTATTTTTTAAAGAAAGTTACACATTTTTAGCACATTCAAGTTTTTAATCACACAAAGTGACATAAAAAAAAACATGTAAAGATACACGGGGGGGAAAACAAGATGTGAGGAAAATTATTTCAAACTAAAGCGCGATGGAACGTTAGTCTTGTCAAAAAGCAGGAAGTGAGGCGATGCGAGCGTAGGTGAGAGCGGGAGGGGGGGGAGGAGTGTTATGGGAAGTCAGAGGAGAGCGTGTCGCCACCGCCATCAGCTCTCGGTCAGCCGTACCTCACACAGGATCTGAGTGGCATTCTTTGCCCTCAAAAGCTCCGGAGTTTCCTCCAGTACAGTTAGCCCTTTACCCTTCACTCCCTCCTCTAGATCCTTCCTGTACTCTTTCTACACCATGGAAGAAAGACAAGAGAGACTGCAGAGACGGCCACACAAGCAGGCAAGGCCGAGGCATATGGACAGTCAGGGCTCAAAGTCACCAAAATCTCAACAACAACAACTTAAAAACAACAACAAAAAACATTTGCTTTAATATTATTACAGCTAGAAACACTTTCAGTGGAGATGTTGTTGACTTTGGCAAGAATCCTGGAAATAGACAAGATGAAACATATTTTACAGGATAAAACAGAGGGCTGGGCGATGCATTCATTTAAACAATTCAATTTTGAAGGTTTAATTTCTGGAAATACTTGGATTTCATTTTTTTTTTGTTTCGCCAATGTAAAAAAAAAAAAGTTTAAAGTCTTATTTACAGCTTTTATGTATTTGGACTTTGAATTCAAGTCAACTCCATGACCAAATGTAGCAGTCAGGATAAGACGTCCTTCATGTTTTTTATTACAACAATAAAGCCATAACATGAAAAGAATATGGTTGTATGAACACAGGAATAAAGTCGTAATGTGAGAACTCCAACACAAAAAATATCCCAAGATTTTTTCCCCCTCAATTTTAAGACATTCTTCTAGTAAAATCTTTATTCTGTTAATATTATAACTACATTATTGCAATTAAACAAAAAAAAAATCTCATAGCCTGGCCCCAACGCTCGGCCAACTCACAGAAATGATGATTGAAATAAAAGATTGAAAAATATTGTTTCAAAAAAGCGTGAGACAAATAAACATAAATTAAAATGAGATCTTGTATAAAAAAAATATATATGATATTTTATTTTGAAGCCATATCGCCCAGCCCTAATAAAACACGTAACACAGTTTGAAACCAGCATTTCACAGAAAACATCACTTCTCCAATAAAACCGTCACATGCACTCATACATAAAGACCGACGGCGAAACGAGGAGCTTTAGACGTCAGTGGATGCAGCACTAATTTCTCTGCACAGCATGCAGCGGGGTTGGAGGGTGCTGTTGGGTCAAACGAGCAAGCATCTAAAAATAAATACATAAAAACCCCTGAAAAGGAAAAGTCAGAGGATAAAAGGTGTGAAGGTAGAGAGGGACTTCGGTTGTGGAACAGTCTTAGTATGATGAGGAAGAAGAAGGGGGCAAATTAACGGGATCAACCATCCTTCTGTTACCTCGCTGGCTATTTTGGTGGCGTGTCTGACATGAATCATGGCAGGGGTGACCTCCAAGCCTGAGAGGTTCTTCCCCTTCATGAACTCCTCATAGTCCTTCTTATAGTCTTTCTATTGGCCACAAAGACACAGACAGACAGACAGACAGAGCTCAGACAAACACATGCAGGCAGAGCAGGGCTCAAGTGCAGCTACAGCATCGTCGTTTGCGAAGCGGCTGCCAAAAACGGACATTTTTCAGCCTTTCTGGTCCAACGCCTGACGGAAATCTAAACACACAGTGACTTGGGAGCAACTGCATATAGTTAATCACTGCCGTTTAACTGATACGTAGGCTCAATCCTCCATGTTCACACATAATTGACTGTATGTGAACTGTGTGTGTTGCACTAAATAACATCCAAGTTTCAAATAACAATAAAAAAAAATCATCAATATAGGAAGTAATGGGTAAATGAAAACATGAATATGTAAAACAGAAGTAACTGAGATTGAAAACTGGGTGTGGTAATATTGTCACACCACAACCTGAAAATGTTAAATTTTTTGACTCCTCAACCATTTTATAACAAAATGTATTCATTGAAAGCACTTTGGATAAACTAAGCGTGTATTAAAGCATTAAAATAAGTTTTTTTAAGATCTTAGCCATGGCTTTTCAAGTTCAGAAATGAATAAGTACTGACAACTTGCAGGATGATTCAAGCTGTATAATTGTAAATCTGACTGTGTGGCCATTTCAAAGGAAACTCCTGGAGGTGAGTGGAAACCTAAGCGGCCTCTTAAATTGTGTATTGTTAGGGCCGGCTGTGCGTCTTCAGGCTTCATAGATCCGTTTTACTGCTGACTTCCTGGCATCGTAACTGAAGTCAGAAATTTCAAACGTCAACACTTTTCAGTTGAATTATATTCTGAGCTCAGCTAGCAATAAAAAAAAGCACAATGAGTGAAAGAATGATTGTTTGTAGGTGTCAAAAAGGTAATTACAAATCAAAACAGAGTGACTAAATCGTTCTTCAGTACTTCCAACAACTTCTGTAAGTTTGCGGTTACCAACCAACCGAAAAGCTTCGAAGGTGCCAACAAGGTGCTCTACATTTTGAATCTATTGAGACTCGACAGAGTCGCTGAAGCGAAGCTGGCGTCTGCAGCTGCTTTCAGCAGGAGGCTGAGGAGAGTCTTTACCTGGCTCTGCATGTGCTGGGCCTCCTTCGCGGTCACATAAGTCGGAGTCTCAAAGTCCAGCATGGGTTTGCCCTTCTCCTTCTCGTACTTCTCCTTGTATTTAACCTGAAACGGCCCAAACAGAGCGCAGTGTAACATAAGTTTGATTAAATGTTGCCATCTAAAAGTTGGCATGAGAAATATACTTAGCTTGCAGACTCTCTCATCCTAAGATTCAGATCTGCATGTATATTTTTCACATTTAAGCCAATGTATGAGGTTGGGATGTCCTAATCCAATCCCAAGTGTTAGATTGAAGTCTAATGTAAAATCTTTTTTTTTTTAAATGTTGTTCTGCCCCATTAGCACAATGTTAGCACAGTCTCTCTAGCCAACCTGCTTTAGAGCTACTTTATTGCTCTAAAGCTGGAGTGTTGGGCCAACATGTATTGCTAAATCTGCTAACAAAACTGTTCAAATATAAATAAATTCTTAAAATTAAATACAGTTCAGTCCCTAAAGGATTTTGTGATTGTTTTTCTCCAATAAAAGTCTAAGTGTTTGGGATTTAGAAATATCATTATGGATTATAGCTTATCAAGAAAATCTTAACAGCTGTTTGGTAGAAGTAAGAAATAGCGCCACCTGCAGGTTGGAGAAAACAGTCACTTAGATCCAAAAATCTGCAACAAAAACACAGAATTATGTATAAAAAGTGCAGGGATTTGTTGGTTTTGTGTGAATTTGCAAGAAGCAGGAGGCAATAAATTGATAAAAACCGGTTTGATTTGACTGATAAAGTGATATTTAAGCAGGCCGTTATCTTGACGGTTCTATTTGTGTGTCACATTAGAGTCTAGAGGGCCACATAAAAAGCTGCGGTGGGCCGGATTTGGCCCCCGGGCCTTGAGTTTGACATGTGCTGTAAAGGATCTAGGTTCTTCTGGAACAATGATAGTTGTTTTCCTCGTTAGTGTGACGTTGCAGATGCCTCTCAGTCCGTTTCAAGTGACCCAGATGGCTGCCTGTAACTGAGCGCAGTGCAGAGAGCAGCTGAAACACCGGTCACTAAATTCTACTATGTTCAAGGGAAAAGGACTAAGTTTGTGAAGCAAGAGAACATTTCCTGTGAGTTTTGTCTGCACATGACCAACAGTAAACAATTCTGTCATATTCAAACTGTGTGTGTGTGTGTGTGTTAGCATTGCTAACTTCAGCTTAGCTTTTCAGTGTAAAAACATAGTAACCAGGATCAAAGAACAGAGAAGCAACACTATCAAACTGGGAATATCTGTAGTTTTAAATGAGCAGAATTTGTAGGTGTCAAAATAAATAAATACTGATCAGGACATCACTAGTGTCGGGTGGAAATTCATACAAACTTGAAGATACTTTCAGGAAGGCAAAGTGTTTGTTGGTCCCCGCAGTTTGTACCACTTACGTTGCTCTGCAGCTCAGAGGCCTCCTTGAGATGAAGTTGCTCTGGTGTGTCAGGAATCATGTGGTAGTGACCCTTACTCTCCTCAAATTTCCTCTTGTAGCGGTACTACAGGGAGTTCCCAGTAGAGTCAGGCAGCTTAGTACAGTAAAAGGAGACGTGTCTGGCCAGAGCCCACTCCATTTCAGATGAAGGGCTCAGGCCGGACCTTGCAGGAGTATTCACACGCCTACAACTTTTCACACTTTATCATAATAAAACTTTAGGGCTCTTTTTGTTTGTTGGGGTTTTGTGCGATAGACCAATGCAAAGTAGCACGAATTGTGAAGTACAAGGACAGATTATGCATGGTTGGGGTTAGGGGATATACAGTTTCAGACCCTGTCACATATTCTTAGCTAGATTTAAGTCTGGACTTTGGTTAGACCATTCTAATACATGAACAAGCTTTGAGCTAAACCATTTTATTTGTATTTGTCCTGCCGGAAGATGAATCTTCTCTCTTGCCTCAGTTGTTTTTGTGGCCTCAGTATTTTTAACACCTTCTTTTTCTTCTTCTTTATTCGTGTTATGTCCCCCACATGGCTGGTGACGAATTTAAAAAGGATTTTTCAAAGGTAAGGGAGCTGAATACACATGCATGCCACAATTTTCAGTTATATTTGAAAACTATCCTTCCACTTATGAATGAATCACTACATTTAGTTGGTCTATCACATAAAATCCCATGACGCTTGCGATTCCAACATGACAAAATGTGAAAAGGGGGCAGGAATACTTTTGCAAGGCACTGTAAATATAAACAGCAGGAAACGCTAACTTCAACCATTAATGGAGAGATGTAGTTATAAATTAGAGGATAAAATGATCAATAGACGTTGGATTTTATGTTAGGCGATCCTTAATCAAAGTTTGATTTGGCCTACAGGAGTAAAAGTGAAGCATTAGATGTTAAAGGTGAGGAAAGTCAGGATCACTACCAGATGAGGTCTGTGAGATTATGAGTGTTTAGATGAAGGGTCCTAGAGTTTCAGTCTCTATGCGATGATGAACAGTTTACAACAAGCTTCTAATTGGTTCTGTTACTGTTTCAACACACTACTGAGGGAGGACGGGAAGAAGGCAGCTGGGGTGGGAGCAGGAAAGGGTTAAGTCGTGATAATGATGATGATGATGATGGTGGTGGTGATGATGGTATCTTACGTCACTTGAGAGCTTGCTGGTGCTCAGACTGTGCTGCATGGACAGAGATTCGGCCATGTCAGTCACAGGTTTGTGGATCTTCTTCAGGTCGCCTTTGTACTTCACCTGGGAGGCGTCAAGAGACGAAGTTTTAACGCAGTGAGCGCCTAACCTCTGTCAGCTGATGTGAAATCAGGGATGAGGTGTTGTTACACATATTTTTTTACTAAATTAACTTTAGTTTAGTCAAGATTTCATTGGTTTGGTTCATCGGTCTTTGAAGACTTTTGACCATTTTAAAGGACAACCTTCCAGACTCCTCAGAAGCAGCATTCAGCTTCTACGCAAATACAAATAAAATGTGATTTATTTGATTGATTAATAAGCAATCAAACCAGAGTTCTTTTTATCATGAATAATCTTTTCTTTTTTTTTTTTTAAACAAAACATACTTGGTACTTCATCATCTGGTGAATTTTGCAACCTTTTAACACTCATTATGATAAATATCACAATTAACTAATGAGACCATACAATCCAGACTGCAAATTCTTAAACATTGTCATGCGTTTAGGTGGTAAAATTCATCCAAATCATTCCACCCCTAACCTGATTTGATCCTTGAAGAACTACGCTCTGCTATATTTGTTACAATCCTTCAAACTTCGAGGAGCCGCTCGACAGCCACCTCCAAGTGTTCACACACAGAAACGGGCGTGAAGCCGGTTCTGGGATTACCTACCTCACTAGCCAGGTCATTGGCGTCCTTCAGGGTTTTGTAAATCTTGCTCTCCTTCAGGTCAAATTGAGGTTTCTTTCCTTTCATCTCCTTGTCAAACTTCTCCTTGTACTTCACCTGGTAAGGCAGAAAGGCGACACATACTGGAAGTCAGCGCAAGCTCCGTGTTGGGACAAAACAAGTGGATTTACAGACTCCAAGTGACACAAAGGCACGGTACGCAAGTGTATCCGAAAGGATTAGTAACTCAGATTCCTGACACTTTCCTTGCCTTGGACATGCTGTGTAACATTTGGTATCTGTGGACAGTACCAGTACACATTTATTGTGACCCCCGGTTGAATCTGTATGGTGAAAAACATTTGTTCGTCTTTTTATTCACAGCAGCGTAATATCTATATCTACTCTTCATCAATGCAACCTTTAAGCTGTGTACATTTACTCATCGTGAGGAAAATAATTACAGTTACCAACAACTGTACCATCTATAATTTTGTTGAAAACATCTACTGTACTTTCTGGACTATAGAGTGCATCATACTATAAGCCGCACCTACAATTTTTTTGAAACAAAGATCGATAGCCCTTAACTTAAAAGCTGTATCATATAAGTTTGAAGAAATTTCTCTGTCCTGCCTGCTGCTAGCATGTGTTTGTTCTAAATGAAAATTAGCACTTTCTTCTTTGATTTCAAATTTTGACTTCTAATGATTCACTTCCTGCTAAAGCGCCCCCTGGTGGTTGAAGAAAAATAAACAGAAAAGCCGCACCGGGCTACAACCCGCATGGTTCAAAGCGTGGGGAAAAAAGTAGTGGCTTATAGTCAGAAAAATACCATAATTAACACAGGAATAAATATAATAAAATTAAATGCTTTTGAAACCTTTTTCAGCTTGGAATAGCCTGGAATAAAAGACAAATTTGTCTTAATCAATCATGCACCTTTTTTTTTTAAACCAGGGATGACAATAAGTGTACCTGGTGCTTTAAATGTTCTTATATGTGCATGCAAAAATATATTTTTATTATTCCATGTATACATTTCATATTTAACCCCAACCAAAGGCTGATAAATGACAGGAAAAGTCAACATCTGAACATGTAAAAACAATAATCTTAAAAGTTCAAGCTGATATTTATCTCTTAGCTATTAAACATAAAAGCATTGTTGATCTGTTAAAAAAAGTATATTTTTAAATCTACTTCTGATGCTTTTAATCTGAACAAACTGATTCATTTAATAGCCAGAAGAGGTGGTAGTTTTGTTTTCAATTTATGTATAATAATAATAATAATAATGATAGAAATAAAAAAGGGTTGACTAATATGTTCCACTGAGCTAGTTGAGTATAAAGAATATTTTAAGAATATAAATAACAAGTGAACACAATAAACATTTTAGAAAAGAATCATTAGCATCCCCAAAGCTGTTAGCTGAGCTGAAGTCTACAAGGCTATGCTGCCCTCTAGTGTTCAAATCATGAATAAATCCCAGCAAAGTTCTCTGAGCTACAGCTTCAGAAAAATACAGCAGTAAAAGCTTCAGTTTCAGTCTGCGATCTATCAGAAACACAAGGAAGAATAACCTGAAACTATTTAAAAAAAATAAAATTAAACAAATACAGTCTGAATCCCAGTGCAGCTAATGCATTTTCTAGGCTTAGCATTGAGCCACAGCTTGTCCTACTGAGGAAAACAAGGGATGCACACAGAACTGAAGGGTGCAAACAAACAGCAAGACAAATCAAAGCACAAAATAGTTTCATACACTGGATTAAAAAAAGAAAATGTTTTTAGACTGCTGTAGCTCAAAATAAAAAATAAAAAATACAATACAATTCACTTTAAGAGACAGACAGATAGCAGCATCCCTTCAGTTTTAGGACATGCGCCTCCTTACATCACTAGTCACCGCACTCATTTTCTTAATGTGCCGCATCAGTGGGGTATCATAGGAAGCTGCTCCATGGAGGGAGGCCTTGCCCTCCACCTACAAAGCCCAGCGAGGTTGTGGAATGAGGAGACAAAGACATTATGGGAGCAGAGATGAGAGGAAAGAGATTAGGACGACTAGCAAGAGAGAAGAGGAGTGGAGAAAGAGAGACGTGAGGTCAGGTTTAAGGATGGAGTTAGACATGTTAAACATGAATATACATTATGAAGTCACAGTGACAGATTAAAACATGGATTTTAATATGAAGGAAGCACTATCACACTATCAGAGAGCTGCTAGTTCAGTCGTTGTGCCAAGAGGAGGAGTGCTGCTAAAAGCGTCACATCTACCGCAGTGAGGTAGAATGAAAACTAAACCAACGAGGTAAAAAAAAAAAAAAAAAAAACATGTTAGCAGAAGGGGTGAGGTGTGTCTGTATCCTGAGATGTAGGAAGAGAACATGATTTATTTCTCTCGTCGTACCTGACTGGTCAGCTGGGACACGTGGGTCGCCAAAGCGATGTCTGGCCGGTGGATCAGGGAGCCTCCACGACTGGCCTCTTCGCGAGCCTTTTCACGGTAACCGATCTGACGGACGGAGGAGGAAACGAGAGTCAGCGCACCGGAAACAAACTCAGCTGATGTACCGGTGGGTTTGTTTTGGTTCCAGATCGACATCGGGGAACGACGTGCGACGGTTGAAGACACGGCGGTCAGCGTGGCTGAGCGGTCACAGCCTCGTGAAAACAAACACAAAAAGCTAATCAAAGAAGACTTGTGTTTCACAATACTTTAATTATTGAGCAGTAATATCTCAAAGTGCTTAAAGTAAAACGTGATTTGAATTATTTAAATTAACCAAAAACATGATTATTGCTGCATTTACTATATCATTATTATTACTATTATTCAATTATTGTTGGTGTTTTTGTTATTAATGCTAGTTTTCAGCATTGAAGCTAGCATACTTAATGCTAGTTTCAATGATAGCATAAATACATTAGCATTATATTTTAGAAGAAACATTATAGTAGAGGAAATACCATTGTTGTAAATAATATTTCTTCATTAATTAGAAGATATCATGATTGTTCATCCACTGTAATTAAATTAAATAGATAATATATTGATTTGCTAACTATGAAGTACAGGTTTATTTGTCATATGTATGGATTATACATGTAATGTATGTAGTATTATGCATGTAACAGTGGATAAGGAGTGGGAACATTGATGCATTTACACTTCCACCCCACTCTCTTGAATAGGTAAAACAGAAGTTTTGACATTTAAGTATTTTTTCTACATATTTAAACAGCAAACAAGTCCAGGAACAATACCTAAACTTTCACCTGCTCAAATCGAATCAACCTTTTTCTAAGTGTTTTTGACGCTTACATCACTAACGAGCTTAGCAGCCTGGGTGGCCTTCCTGATGTCAGGACGGTCCACTACAGTAGTGTAGTGCAGGTTAGCCTTGGCATCCTTTTTGTAGGCGACCTGTGAAACGATGCAGAGAGAGACAGAGAGAGAAAGTACAGTGTAAAAACCGAGCAGCACCTCAAAAAGACAAACGTCTGTGTAGAAATACTCTCACGTTGCTCTGACTCTTTGCCACGTCCATGGCATGCTGAACATCGGGTGGCACGATCATTTGGTTGTACACCGACTTGCCTCTCTCCTTCTCAAACTTCTGTTTGTATTGTTTCTGTACGTTTGGGAGAACAAGAGAGACGCAGTTCAGGACAAGGAGATCATTTGGGCACCATTGGCTGATTTGGGTACAATGTAAAAGAAACGTTGTACCTCGCTGATCAGCTTCTTGACCTCCCTGCTGTGGGCGGTGTCGCGAGTCTCAGCCAGCTTGGTGAATGAGCCGGACTGCATGATCTTCTTGCTTTCCTGCTTGTATTTGCTCTGAGAATGGGTGTGGAAGTGTGAGGACTCACATCATCTAGTGTTGATACGCTTTACTCCAAGCATAAAGTGTACAAATAATGGAGTACCCTTTTATTTACTGGCCCTTACCTCTGATACTAGCGTGCGCACGGCTTTGGCGTGGAGAATCTGAGGAGTATCCAGAACAGGTACGTAGTGGCCCTTTGCCTTCTCGTACTTCTCTTTGTACTTCACCTGGAGACAGTGAGTGGTATGTTGATGTGACCCGTTTCATTGGTTAAACTCACAGATTACTTTCACAAGAACCACTTACGTCACTGGCCATCTCTGCATTTTTCTTGTACAGGAGAGTGTACTTGTCGTCCGTGACAGGTATCACACAGCCCTTCATCATCTCTTTGTCGTACTTGTACTCAACCTGTGGGTGAAATCATATTTAGGTCAACACTGACAAATGCACAAAGATTTAGAAATTACAGTCATGTAATAAAACAACAATGGACTCACATCACTCTGCTGCAGAGAGTTTTTGGCAGCGTTGATAAAATCTGGTCTGTCTGCTGTCCAGATCCACTTGTTCTTAGTTGCCTCATACTTCTTCTTGTAGTCAAGCTAGTAACAGAAACATGAGAAGCACTTTTAACTGTTGCTAGGGTGTTTTGTGTTTCCAACAAGCGTTGTTATCTCTTTGTAGATGCTTACGTTGCTGATGTTCTTGTAGGCCTCCTTGGCAGCACGGATCTCGTGAGCCTCTGGGTCCATGTTGATCTGAGCTTTGCTCTTCTCATACATCTCTTTGTATTTCAGCTGAAAGAGGAATAGTTACAAGAAAGAATAGGCTGGTTATGGCCAATCGTCATGAAGTTTTACCAAATGTTTCACCGCAGTGCTGCTACGGCTTGAAATCTTTTAAATGAGATGCCAAAAAGCATGAAGAAAGGAGCGAATGGCTTCCTTCAGCTGCATGAAGCTTAGAGTAACACACTGACAGGCGTTTTAAAGCTGCAGATGGGAAGATGAGAGCTGCATGTTTGTTAAGAAGCCAACTGAAGGCTGGCTAACTGAGCAGATAGCCTGACTAATTAGCCAGCTAATATCGGCCTTATTATTCTGGAAGCATTTTGGACAGTAGGCACATTCACATAGAAACTACAGAAACTATAAAATTAGTATTTCTGCTGAAATAAAATAATAAATAAAATATTCCCTATTCTAACCATAATATTTCCATTTGTTACATTAAAGTATGTAACTTTTATAAAAAAGTTTTTTTTACATACTTCTTAAAATTTATTTTAGACTGTCCCTCTGTTCAGTATAACAGGAGCAGCAAAAAAAAAAAAAAATCAATTGAGTGTTTCAGTCAGAAGCAGCCAATCAGAGCCAGGGGGTGGGACTTAGCGCTGTCAATCACCCACAGGCCCTCCCTCTTGCTCTCTGCTAGGCTACAGCTCCTTTCTCACAATAGAGTGAATGCTCAAGATAGTTACCATGGCCACCAGTTATGGAGAATAAACAGTTTCCTGTAACAGTACTTTTTTTTTCCACCATTAGCACAGCTGCAGCGCATACACAAGCACGACTGACAGTGCTAAGACCCTCCTTATGGCTCTGTTAAAATAAAACCTATGCAGGCTACTCCAGCTTCAGTTCTGTGATATAGTAATAAAGTGTTTCTTTTTTTAGATACAAGGAATTAGATCATGTTTCAAATTTGTAGATGAAAACGTATGTAGAAATGTGTCGCTAGAGTGAAACTTACGTTGCTGGTGATCTCTTTGACCTTCTTCATGTGCTGCTGGTGTGGAGTGTCATAAGGCAAAGTGTATCCCTTGGCTTTGGTCTTGTTGTACTCCATCTTGTAGATGACCTAAGGAGAGACGAGGAATAATTTAGTAACAGAAATTTAAAAAAGAAAAAAAAGAAAAGAAAAAATGGTATTAAATGATAGGGAAACTCCACTAAAACTTACATCAGTGATCTTCTTGCTGCGTTTGTGAGTCTCGTACTCAGGAGTCTCCAGAACAGACGTGAACTTATCTTTGGCGCGTTCATACTGCTCCCTGTACTTCCACTGAGGAAAAGGACGGGTAAAGTTAGTTTAGCTCGTAAAAAGGCGGCGTATTAAATGTTTTACATTCAAATCTGGCATTGTTTTTGCTTTTAACTTGTGAACGCAACGAGAAACTATACAAAACAAAATGATTTGAAATATCCTTAAAGCCAAAGAGAATTAAAAACATGTCTTACAGATACTTAACATTTTAGATTAAACCAAAATAGTCCAATAATAAACTTGTAATAGTTTATTACCTATTATTGTAATAAATAGTTTATTACATTAAACTTGTAATAACAATTTAGATAATTACTATTGTTATATTTTCAGTTTTTTTGGATAGTTATCTGACTCCAATTAAAGAAAAGTCAGAAACATCATATTAACTTCCATCAAAAAGAACCAAGTGAAGTATTAGCATGCACAATATTCACCAAAAACATGCTTTGTGAGCCACATACAGACACAAAGATGACGATTAAAACACAAGTTACCACTGCTTGGTGATGAAAGTTGCAGCACTCACATTCTTCTCATTAACCAGTTGCTCTTCTCACTGAGCTAAACTTAATATTACTTCACAATTTACCCACAAAATAATGCATTTTTACATAAAACCACAGCAGAATTATAAATTATCCCTTGTTTTGGATTTTCTCATGGAGTTAGGAGTGTCAAAGGAGCTGCTCGGTTTTTCTGAAAAGTTTGACTACCTCTGGTGATGCGATGTAATGTTGCTTTGGTAAAATGCTACATAGTAAAAACGTACACGATAAAAAAAAAAATGTAGAAAAAGAACCTAAAATCGGCACCTAATTTAATATAACAATAAATATGTAGAAGCTGTGCAGAAGGTGACTAACTCATTTTGTGATTCTGTGTTTGGTCTCAACTGTGCAACGACATTGTGTTTTAGAGTTAAAGTTTCACCGACGATGAGAGGGAAGTGATGGAGGGATTAGAAAATGAAGGAGGAGGAATACATGGACTTAGAACCACTTTTAGGAGGATTAAATGGATGAAAAACAAAATCAATGTCCACAAACACCAGGAAGAGAGAAACGATCTCTAAAAAAAAACGTCACGAAACTTGAAAACCAAATGATACGGCAAGAATATCAAATCGCATTATTTTGACTTTTCAAATTTTCATGTAAAAACATACCTCTTATTAGAATAAAACATACATTTGGGTCAAAAATGACTAATTAATGAACCTTCTCGGACTTTATTTAGGCCATTTCTGAACAGAATGTTATCTTTTTGTCAACTTGTGTAGCCCTTAACCAGCAGACTTCATCTGAATCCAAAACCATATTTCAATTTAAAAAGTCAAACAACGTCACAACACAGTGCACTCTGGGTACATAAAGCACTAGTTTGTGAAGCTGAAATGAAAAATGTCACATAACCGTCTAATAACTCAACATCACGGACGCGGCTCCTGTGTGTTTGTGGACAGGTTACAACAGCTCACTGGTCTCTGACGGTTTACCTTGCTGCCCATAACGGACTGGCAAAGCGCTGTGAGGATGTCAGGGCGGAGAAACTCATTGCAGCCACTCTTTAGCAGATCCTTTGCTCGGGATTTATACATTTTCTGTCCACACACACACACACACAATAACGAACATACACACAAAGCATGCCACAGTTTAGAACAAACTAGGAGACAGAAATAACACTGAGAGGGACTGGAGGAACGCTCCGGAGATCCGAGGAAGACACTCGAGTGTCGGCATCTGTCCCCAGAGAGAGAGACAGAAGTGACCACCTTCGCTAGAGCCGGGTTCGAAATGTAAATGATTTAGATAATCTGTGAAGTCCAGCTGTCTCTCTCACGGAACAGATGCAGATAGATCATGCTCACTCAACACAGCAGCTGCTGTTTGAGTGGCATGGATTACAGGAACCTGCGAGGGACAAATAGGAAGACAGACAACGATACAGAGGAGCCCATCACAGCCATGCGGCGGCCAGCCCCACCGGCAGGTCTGTCGACAACCTCATGCGCCGGGTGTGAGCGGCCCGGAGGACCGGCGGCGTGCGGGTGAGGCCGCCCGGTCGCCCGGCACGTCCGGGACGGTTACCTGGCTCATCTTCCTGTTCTCCCTGGCCAGCTGGTACCTAGGATCGTCTATGGTTATGGTGAACTTATCCCTGGTCTTCTCATAATTAGCTCTGTAGATCCTCTGCTCAGAATTTCAGAAGGTCGTTAAAAACAAATGTCAGGCGGAAAAAGAAACGGAGTCCCTGGTATGTCAGCAAACTTTAAGGAACAGTAGTAAAAAGTAAAATAAAATAACATGTTGCTGTAAAAGTGGACACCTGGGCTGCCTGTTCAACAAAATGATTTCACAGTAAAGCCTGGCGCCGCCCCCCTCACCACCACAAAAAGCTGTTAGCTCCCCCAATGTTGAGAATCGGTGATTTAAGCAAAACAAATCTAATAAAATAAAAACATTTACATTATTTTACCTCCATGTAGAGTCCAAGAGAGAAGCAAAGAGACAAATAAACATAGTTGATCATTTCAAAGCAAATAATAATGAAATAATTTG